ACAGGCTCCCAGATGATGTGACATTGCTGTTCCAGGGAGCACACTCGTGAGTAGGCCACAGCCTAGAGTCTACAATATCCTGAAAATACTTCATTCTTGCTATGGACAACTGATTCTTTAAACACCATCACTACACAATTATCCGCTTGTATGGCTAAAACTAATTCTGCAACGTCCACATGAAACTTTGGGTTGTCTAAAATTTTACTTAAAATTTTGTTGAAGCACTAACTAGTATTTTAAGGCAACTCATCTGATAACTGATTTATTCACAAATGAAACTTCCAAAACTTAAGAGGCTCTTTTTAAATCCAACAGAGAAATGGATAACAATGAAAATTTATTTTAGGTGTTCTTTTTCAAGATATTAACTGTATATTTAATTCAGGAAATCACTAACAAATGGTGATTGTACTATGAAAAAATGCTCCTTTCATATTTTGTTGTCCAACTCGCATTGAGAAGAACTTAGTTTCATAGCACTTTTCTGAAAAAAAAATAAGGTTGGAGAACACTTTATATAACCAAGGGTCTTTAATTTATTGTGGTGGGAAGCCACAACCTGACCTTAAGGAGAGGCCTATGATTCACTGAGTCACAGAGGATGCCTGTGGGTTACCAATGTTATTGGGCTCTGGGTACATTTATAGAGCAACTGTAAAACCAGGGTTTATTCCTTGTATCAGAGTCCTCCTGGACTGCCCCCTGTCCTTCCTCCATCTCCCAAATTCTGGTGTACAAAAGAGTGAGGACAAAGCAAAAAGACACTGGCGATGGACAAATGGGAGAGACTACCTCAGAGTGAAAGCCACAGCCTATCAATGCCCAAGATCCTTCATTCTTGAATATTGAGACAGAGCATATAAGGATACATATATTTATATATAAGTATATAGGTATTTAGGTCTAAATTAGGACCAGATTCCCTTCCTAAACCATCTGCATCATAATTGCCAGGATTCCTGTATAAAATGTAGTTACCTGGGCCCTATTACTGACCTAATGAATCATATGATCTGAGTAGGATCTTAGAAATCTACATATTAACATACTCTCCAGGTTTATAAACCACTTGTTCCCAATTGTTTCCAGCATATAAAAATGCAAAGTTACCACTAAGGTTCTTTGAATCCTCATGCTGTGGTGTATTATCTCCATCCATCTATGATAAAGTCATGGTAAATGTATAAAAAGCATCATGTAATTATGACAAGAGTACAAACACTATCATGTAGGGGTAAACAAGTATTTTTTTATATGGGAGACAGTGTTCTATACAAAGTTCATTTATCCAATTATTTCAAAACAGTAATCAGAATAAACTCACTATAAAATGAATCATGTTCTCATTGTTCCACAAAACAGAGCACCAATTTTCCCATGGAGGATTTTTTAAAAATCATTTAGATTTCTAAAGTTCACATGATAATCTGGGTCCCAGGGCACAAAATTAAAAAAATAAAAATACACATTAATTTTTTAAATTATCAATTACCTATAAATAAAAACTAACAAAGTGGCAGAGTTATTTTTCAAATACAGAGTTACTCCTAAGATGTATCTAAGTTCCATTTTCAAAGAAGAGGTTTTCATTAGAGCAAAACCTGAGCTTGTTTTGTCCAACGTAAGAAACTTACCTCTTCCTGCCTCCCTAAAAGAGTTGTGTGGTGAATAAAGACAGTATCTTTTCAAGAATTTTAATTGACAAAGATGGCAAAAATACAGGATTTAAAATCCTAGAATCAAAGGGTATTTCATAATATCATCAGACGATTAATATACTGTAAAAAGTTAATTCAGCAGCTTAAACGGATAAAGGCTTGAATGGCCAAACGGTTAATGAGTAAGACTAAACACTACAGTCTTCACCTGATACTTCTAATACTGTTCTAAAATATCTGAAAAGTTCTGTTGTTCCGCATCAAAGGAACAACGATAGGTCTGAATTAGCTTGAAATGGTAAGAGTTCACGTTTTACAACAAACTAATTATATATACAGAAGTTTGTATCTATTTCACACTGTGGCTTCAGAGGAAAAAACCAACACATTCAGAAGAATTTGCAAAGCAGCCACAGTCTTCCATTTCTTCTACTCTTCCCCTTAGTTATTCTGATGCAAATGTAAACAGAAACAATAAATCCATCAACAAGAAAAATATCCCATTAAGTATTACTTTTAATTAATATTAAGAGCTACACAACTATTTGAATAAATGCAAATTAAAAAGATTTCCCACAGCAAACACCTGTATTCTAATTAGTGTTTAATGTATTAAATATTATGACAATTAGATTTCTAAAGTTTACATACTAATCTGGATATTCTGATACAAAAGACCATGAAAAATATAAACTTAAACTTAAAAATATATTTATATTTTATATAATATATTTTATATTTATATATATATATATATATATATATATATATATAATTGAGACTAGCTTTATTAACAATGCTTAATTTCAATTTAATGTTTTTGGTCTTAAATAGGAACAGGTAAAAAATTCTGAACCATAAATAATATTCAGTTACACTGAAAGCCAAAACAAGAAGAATCAGGTTTATATTTTACATGTTAAATCCCTTTGCCAGCTGGATTCAACCGTTTTCTTAAAGATCACTAAGAAACAGTTTTTGTTACCAACTACCACTATTTTGGAATTTTAGTATCTCAAAACACAATTTTTAAATTACTTTCTGAATAATACAACAAGTAAACAGCATCCTAGACAGCATTTCTTTTTTCTTTAAATAAATAACCATATCCCAATGGCACTGTTTCATGCAGAACAATCATTACATGGCAATGCCTACATTTTTAAGAACCATACATAAAGGTACTCAGTTTCTCACTGGAAAGCTTTCGTAAACAAAATGTAAGTTATCTTCAAAAGGACTTTAGAAAATTGTTGATAAATATCTGTGCTGAGGAAAAAGATGAATTTGATATTTCAAATACATCGATAATTTATTCATTGGTTTTGGAAAAAGTTGACAGGGACAGAGGAGCCAACCAGTAAAGACCAGCAATCAATTTTCATGACACCGATAGTCCTACTGCAACTCAAGGTTCTGGAAGAGGTCTTTTGCCCATTCCTGTAATTTAAACCCTATCAAGTAGATCAAATATTAGATACCTTATTGCCTGTGAGTGAAAGAGGTGCTAAAGATGACTATTACAATTAAGCCAAATTTGGGAGAAAATCTTTCTAAACTATATTCTATACATTATTGGTTCCTTTAGAAACTTCATTAAAGACAGTTCACCTCTTTGAACCCCATTATTATGACTATCAATGATTAAGAGAAAAACAGGCATTTTTCCATCTCCTTCCATGCTGTCATATGTCACTTCCACTATTGATGTGTTTGCCCACAAAGCCCCTTCTATTTGGTTTTTTAATTGCCAGCTGAGAAACTTGATAATTTAGATATAATCTTAAAATGCTGGTTATCAGGCAATAAATTCAGAAGTCAACACCCAAAGGCTTACACAGAAGGTGAGAAAAGCAGAAGTGGCCTTTATGAAGTGTCCAGACTCTTTAAAGATACGATTTCATTTAATTTTCTTGACAAGCCTATGAGGTAAGTATCATTATACCCAGTTTATAAGTGAGTTAATGAGACAGCAGTTAGTGACTTTAGGGAGATTAAACCTAGTTAAATGACATGGCCAGGTATCAGAATTCATGTTTTCTTGTACTATGTGCCCATTTAAGTACATCAGCCTAGTGACAGTGATTTCAGTAGCTCAGGGGCCATCTGGGCAGTTTTCCAAATGGCTGAGTTGCTCCAAGTCTAACCTTCAGATAAGGTTCCTCCTGCACTTTCATTTGGAACTTAATATCTTTCCATAATTAATACTGCAATGAAGCCTGAACTTTCTTTGGCATATGCACGTGTGTACAAATACATACACAAATTACACATGTAATCTGACCTTGAAGTTTGAAAGCAAATAGCTGGTTAAGAGTTCTGCATGCTAAACCCAATTTTTATGAAGTCAGGTGTACATGCCACTCTTGCCAATGCACAGTAACTAACATTTGGGTATCACTACAAATTCTACGGAGCTTACAATAACATTTTCATAAGGTACAAAATAATGTGACTACTATACCCATACAATAATAGATTTTTTTTTTTAAGGTGGAAGGAGGAACTTTCTACCTAAGGAGTAGAAAATTCTGATTTAGCAAACCTTTAGTTACCATCCTGGTCAAGACACATTAAAATGAATATTTTACTTTTACCTTTTGCTTTAAAAATAATCCCATAAATTATAATAATTGGTTATGTCCTGTATCTCCCTGCCATCTTCCCAATATAAAGAGATTCCTTATTTCCTTTTTCAAAACCTTGTTTTTGGGACCACTCAATATAAATTGTAGGAAAAATGCCAAACAAAAAAAGTTGTGGTTTAAAAAAAAACTTTTTAATAAAAAAAAGTAAGATTGGTTTTATCAAAGTTAACAAACCTTTATTAAAGGCTCAGAACTCGTTTTTATATCTGTACTTCATCATCAATTTAATGTTCTTCAGTATCATATAACCAATATGTAAAATACAAATTTAAATTCCAAACAACTACCCTTACATGAATTCAGGGCATTTATAAACTTTACATAAAATATATACCAATTTGGAACAAAGCATTTCATCTAATAAACATTCTCATAAGGCCAGTTCCCCAAAACAAAACAGAAACTAGGAACTATACCTAGGGACCATTAAGACCTCCTTTTCACATGCAAAATGGGAAAACACATTTGGCACCCATGCACACACACATAAACACAAGCCTCAGAAACCTGACAATTACCTCCATACTCCAGGAGTAAGCTTTTTGCTCCTGTTTTGCAACTTCCTCAAAACACTCCACACATTCATTCTCCAAAAAAAAAAACTTTTCTAAAACATGTACGGTGAGGCTTGACATATATATTAGGCAGTTTAAGAAAAGGCAATGATTTCAAGTAAAAACATTGAGATATCTGATTTAAAACGGAAAACAATTTATTTCACTTTTGCCATACCGGACAACAAAGCAGCCCTTTTATGTCACCGCTCGTTAAAAGGGCATTACAAGACATTAACATAATGCAGCAGCCCATGTTTTCTTTCAGGCACTTTCAAAGGGCATCTCAGACCCACAGTATCTTCTATTGGGTGTGCAAGAAAACAGAGCTGCAAAATGATTAGTAAGGCAAGATACTAAAGTCTCCCTTTTTATTTGAACATTGTTATCCACGTTTTGGAGATATCCTGAATTAACATTCAAAGATAACGCAGTATTTAAGTATTAGGAATCAGCATATTATCAGCAATCTTGGGTTTAACAGCTACTATCAAGCAATTGATTTCTAATGCACACAACATAGTTCGCTAGTATATGTAAAAGAAGATGGCCTGAATTTTGCCCTCAAATGCACAAAAAGAATTTTCTATTTACCACCCCAAAACAGTCTTTGGCCTTGCTGAATAATTATAGAGCTGTTATTTTACTGCGAAGCAAAATAAGCCTTCAAGTGTCCCTTACTTGATCTTAGAAGGTCAAATTCTCTGTCCAACAGTTCCTCTTCTGTTAACTTGGAGAAGTTATCCTCTCCAAATGGATTCCACCCTGACATATCAGGTGGGTTACTGATGTTCTTCTGATTTGTAATATTTGCAACTGCCTCTTTATCAGCAACTGACCTACAGTAATAATTAAGAGAGGAAAAAGGAGAAAAAAGTTAGAATTGAAATTTTAAACTGTCCTGGTTCATACTTTATAGATATTTGGAAAAGCAGATCATTTGATCATGATGGAGGTGGCAGCTAAGGGCATGGATTGGGAGGAAGACCAGCTGGGATTTGCATCACCTCCATAAAGGTCACTAGCCGCGTACCCTGGGCACGCTCCTTAACCTCTCAGGTCTCAACTTCCTCACCTGTAAACAGGAGCAGCAGTGTCTACCTCATAGGGTAACTGAGAAGATTAAATGGTTTAATACACGAAAAACAGACAACATAAATAAATAAGCACTTAAAAATATTAACTGTTATTATCATAGTGAATAAACCTTCAAGTGAAAACCAGTTGCCATATGAAACAGTATCACCCTAAAATCACGACTGAATAGGGTGATCTTATGTCCTGGTCACGCTGAGACACCACAATAATTTTCCTTTTGACAAAAGCATCCTCTGTACAGCCACCAACAAAAGGAGAACTGCTTGCACTGCTTTATGAATTGCCTAAAACTAGATGAGGGTCACTTTCTATATAATAAGTTATTTATGATGCTTAAAATATCTACATAGTCTGGAGCCTAGGATCACTGGTTCTATGAAAGTATCAAAAGGTCTCTTGGCTTTTAAGGGAAGATGAGAGTCTAAAGACTTCTTAATCTAAGAGTTCGTGGGTGCCTCCCCCTCAACTCATCCTGGAAATGCAGCACAGGCACGAGGCAGTGTGACAAAGTTGTCTCGTTCATTTCATGATTCCGATCCAGACCTTCTAACATTGGTAGCGGAGGGAGAATGTATGCACTTCTAAAGAAGTATCTCAGTTTTTCAAGCCTTGACTCATCCTCTTAAATTCTCCTTCCCCTTGGGAGCTCACTTCCACTGCCATCACACAGGTCTTTAAAGAGAAGAAAGGGCAAAAGTTGCCCACTTAATCCTCTAGCCCAAGCCCCTTCAGTAAAGCTGAGACAAGAACAGAATGTATAAACACTTACTAAAAGCAAGAGGAAAATACATATGATAATTGATCTATTAAGGAAGACTAGATAGTTGTTCTTAATAAATATAACTTAGATATCTTAATAATAAATATAATTCAGTTTAGCACTCACTCTGGGAATGCATCAGTGGCCAAGGTCTAATAAGCCTGCCTCCACAAGACAGAACCTCATCTCTAATTCCAAAACTATCTTCAAGGACTTTCAGAGTCCTAAAACACCTCCCTTTCCTGTTCCACCCTCCCATCTCCTGGGATAATTTCATAATCTCACAGGAGTGGAGTAAAACAAGTCCTATACACTTTCACAGATACCCAACCCAATGTTTTCCAAACTGGGGTGTGCAAGCTGATTTTGATGATAAACTGACTCTTTTTAAAGTCACACGGAAATTAGGAAACATACTTATCTAACATATCACACCTGTGGCTTCATGAACAGCATCAACTGAAGATGAGATTAAGTAGGCAGTGCTTTGGGAACACACATAAGTTACAGGTATCAGCACCTTGCATGCCGTGTGTGCCCCAAATCTTTAGATACTCATCTTCCTTCATAACTAATCAGAAGTTCAGGTAGTACAGAAGCTATGGGACACTGGCATGAATTCTCTCATGCAGGGTTTCTAATTCATGACTTCATTCTCATCAGGGACACAACTCTGTTTCCAGAGGCTGGTCTTCCCAGTACAAAGTATACATAAGTATATATGCTGTGTCAGAGAAGATAGTTTAATATCTTTGCATTTTCCAACTACAAACACGAGATATAATTTTTGATGCTAGTTAACATCAAAAGTAAAAAAAAAATCATTAATTAATACAACAGCCTCATTAGTATCTTAATATCAAGCAGAATACCTGTTTTTAATGAAGAATAAAAACTATTCTATTCTTATCCCTAGGGGACTTATTTGTAGGTATGTCCTTTTTGTTAATTTATTAGATTGCTACTTGTATTTCACAGATTATATTTTAGTGGATTTAATTTGTTTCAAATGTATATTATTTGTTTTAGTGTTATTCACAATAGTGCTATTAATTTATTAAAGAAAAAAGTGTTACATGAGTAAATCAAAAAAGCACAACTAGAGTAGGCAAATGACAAAGAGTTTGGCAAATATTGCTCTGGGTCTTTAAACGAGCCTTTGGTCTTACGCCCTGCTCTCCACTTATAGACATACTTACTTGTTCTAATTCATGCACGTCAATTTTTGATTTAGGAAAGCACTTCAATAAATCCATTTCTTTTCTCCTATCCTCCTTCCCCTCCAATCCTTTCTCTCACTCTTTCAATCCCTGCACCTCTTTTCTTTCACACACCGACACACATACACACACCGACACACACACACAGGCTGGGAGGTATACTATAGCAAACTGCAAACTCCAACTGCTCTTGACATGCTCAGTGACCACCACACTACTGATGTCACTGTTTCGCACACCCAACCCAGCCAAAGCTTGTAGACACCAGCCAACATTTCATATCCTCAAAAAGTGTTGTATGAGAATTTCTTTAGTGTTCTAGTGACCAAAGTTCTAACAGCTACTTCCTCCTATGTATTTAAAATTATCAGGATGTATTCATGAGGGTCAAAAGATTCTTAATTACAAAACCCTGAAGCATTCCTCATAACAAAGCTAAGTTTGAACACAGTTGTATCACAGTTGTTTAACTTCTTGTGATGTTTTCAATAAGAACTATCGATGAAAAGTAACTCCACTAACCACGGTACATAAATAACCAAAATGCACTATGGCTGTGGTAACAATAAGCCTGCCGTATCATACCATCTTTAGAAAGAATCAAATGACTCATTACAACTTTTTGTACCTGTTTAAATTAAACCAAATTAGGCAATTTCTATGAGTATAAATACTATCAAATTAATTAAAATAACATATAAGTAGAAAAAGTTAAATTAACTTGTCTACATGGGTTTTTTTTTTAACTACTAAAGTAGTTCATTAGAGTTTTGCTTCTATTGAAATGATAAAGAAACATCTTAACATATGAGCTAATAGTTTTCTTAGCCTTAAATGCTGCTGGATGTTGCTAAGCCTTATCTGCACATAGCAGAATTAACTGATGAAAATGGAAAGGGTGAAAGAGATACACAGGGACCAGCAGAGAGCACCCGTAAGAGAAGGGGAACTCTACAGAAGGACGGACTCCAAATCAGCTCAGGAGCCACTTAGTGACTCCACTCCACGAGAACACCCACTTTCACAATAATTTCCTTTGCATTCACTGGAAAAACACTTGCCTGTTGGCACCATAAGAGGAGTCCATTATGGTTCCAACCTGAGCTGGAAGCGATGAAGTGTAGGCCACTAAGGCTGGTGGGAACTCTTGAGGGGAGGTAAGATATTCCGGTGATGCCTGTTGAGACGGCTGATGTTGGGCTAGCATTTGCTGCTGTAAGAAAGCCTGCTGATACTGCTGCATCTGAAACAGAAAACGCTGTTATACAAAACAACACTCAGGGTCACGGAAGCTGAATGAGCAGCTCACTACCAGAACACTACAGCGAGGTGAAATAAATCTATTTAAGAAGTTGTTCAAGTGGACTTATTGTCATGATCATTTTGTGATACACACAAACATCAAATTATTACTTCATATACCTGAAACTAACATAATGTTATGTCAATTATACCTCAATTAAAAAAAAAAGAAGCAGTTGTACAGTTAGGCTCACCTGGCAGAATTCAAAAATTCTCCTTTAAATAATTTAAGGAAAAAACAATAGAGTAGCTTAAAGTCACTTGGTATGGTGGTTGCTGTAAAGAAAGGCCAAACTATTCTTGGAAGCAAATGCAACTGTCCTTGGGATTCTTTCCTCTTTTTTTTTTAATTCAACAGACATTTGCCAAATGAAAAAGATATATGGCAAAAGATCCTGGGTAATCGATAATTTCCCTATACTATAAGAGAAAAATACTGTTAGTTATGATGTTCCAAATCCAGGTGTGAGATATTGATACAGATATAGATAGTTCAGGTCAGTTTAAGCTGTGTGAGAATACATGGCTGGCTTTGTTAAAATACATGTTAATTAACTAACTTGAGTTGATTTTGAATTATTAAGTAATGAAAAATGCCATTCACACTGTGAATTCCAATACTAGAATGTATACTCAGAGAGACATCCCTAGAAATTATATAGCACCTACCATTGAAGGATACTGTGATGCGGAAGGCTGTGGCTGATACACCGAATGCGTTAAAAACTGTTGCTGAAGTATCTGCTGCTGTTGCATTGCATGTTGATACTGTGATTAGAAAAACAAGTTCATCAACTTTATTCATGCCTTTTTTGTGCCACAGTCTTTCTTTTTTAAAGTGCTGATCTTACTGTAACCAACGACTTGGGTACCCAATAGTCCAGATACCGATATGAAATAGCTATAGTCAGTAAGCAACTATAACTTAAATCTGCTTATTGAAACTGGTTTCCAAATTATCAATGAAACCTAACAGACTCAACTAAAACCATTTCCAGCACAGTCTAAGGACATTTGGAAGAAACCTAAACCTAAACACATTCACCAGCTGATGAAGACCCCTGAGTCCAGAAATCCCCACTCTCCCCTGCCTCGCCTTCAGTGACATCTTCTGGCCATCCAATGGCACCCCTACATAACCACCCTTGACTCTGGGTCTCTCAGTCAAGACTAGAGGATGGGTACCCCATGAGAAGTGTCATGCATATAACTGGTTCAAAAATATTTTAGGAAATGATGAAGGACAATGATGACAGTTATTAAATTTAAAATAGTTTAGTGAAACTAGATATGTGCAGGATCTGATGAGGCAAAGGACACAACAGAACTTGAGGTCATTTTTTCCTACTTCCAACTCTAAATGCCACCTCTACACACACACACACACACACACACACACACACACACACACACACACACTAACACAGGCAAAAAAAAAGAAAAACAAACAAAAAATCCAAGACAATGTTACTTTTGAAAGCCTAGTATCACCTTCCAACAGTAACATTATTATCTGTATATCTGAACTCAAAATGTAACCTGAAAAAGATAATATCCATCATAAAATGCAGTACTTATTCAAGATGCCAAATGACTGATGAACAGTCTTTGCTTCATAAATCCATGATGCAACCTATTTCAGCACAGTATTCTTAAGTATCTCACAGAATGCAAATAAAATACATCTTCTTTAATAATCAGGAAATTGAGCAAAACGCTTACTTCAATCTAGAGTCCAAGGTACCCACGGTACGAAAGGGAATTTACTGATAGTCAAGAGCCCCGTGAATGTCACCACATAACTTCCATGCCCGAAGTAGCAGAAGAGTTACCTGCTGCACGTACGCATCCTGAAGCTGCTGCTGCTGCAGGTGAGGGCGGCGGTGCTGCACGTGAAGCTGCTGCAGCCTCCAGTCTCCCTGCTGCAGCTGCTGCAGGACCCGATGCTGCTGCGGGGGCTGCTGCGGGGGCGCCTGGCCCAGTAAAGTCTCAGGGCCGCTGCCAGGTCTCAGCGCTCCTAAAAGGGGTTTCCCCAAACTGTCATTAACGTGCTCGCAATTTCAGTAAAACGGCTCTACTTCAAAACACTCATTTTGATCATCATTAACCAAGGCATTCCTACATTCATTTTATAGAAACTTCCATGTGCATATGGTCTAAAGGGATTATTTACTATAAGTACCCATGAAAGCTAACTTTGTCAGCTACAACTCGTGAACAAGTTCACATCTTAGAAACACGTCCTCTTTCATCCTTCATCTCATGAACGCACCGGCCAGGTCAGTTTGAAACGCTCCAGACTTCTCACCTGTACCATGCACATTATGAGTCTGTGTCTTTGCTGGCATGACTCCCTGCCACTTTCCACCCACTGCAATTCTTATCCTTTGGAGCTCGCAACTCTCTTCCTTGTTCTTCATCTAACGCTTCCACTAAGTTTATAACATTTCATTCTGCCTCACACACATTCATTGTTTAAATGGCTATTTCCTAACCAGGGCCCCTGAGGGGTTTTATAAACTATGGGACATTCATACAATAGAGTATTACATATCTATTAAAAACTACATAGATCTATATGTACTGATATGCAAAGTTCTCTACAGTATATTAAGTTTAAAAAAATCAAGTTGTGGAGAACTATGTATAGTATGAATCCATTTGAGTTTAACCCAAAATGAGTTATTTGTATCTATGTATATTCATGCAAGAACATAAAAAATGAATGGGAAGATGTGGACCAAACTGCTGCTAATTTACTCTGGGAATAAAAAGAATGGAAATCTCTATTTTTCTGAATACTACTGTATTATATGAGTATCTTTTAGAAATATATTCATGTGTTACTTTTTATATAATATTTAACAGGAAAAGAAATGTTAAGAGATGTACATATAGGGGGGAAAAAAGAGTATTTTTTTTTCCAACTGAAGCTGGAAGTATGTAAGAAAGAGAAATGCTGCCCCTGACAACGGGCAAGCCTGACACAGTGAGGTGGTGGTGTTCTTCCGATAAATGCAAACAGTTTTACAGACCACCACCACCAGACAAGGCCACCCTGTGATGGATCAGGATAAGACCACCCCTTAATCAGGTCTCAATGCTGACAAAATCAGGAACACTGTCCAAACCATAAAATGGCCAAACCTCTCCCAACCATGGCTAACACGACTGAATGCTGCTTCATTTCCAAATGAGGCTTTTGCTTCCCTCCTTCTAGATAAAATTTAAGATACCTAATGATATTACACCCTGCTTCCACAAACGTACCTACAGCAAGCCCAAATCCTTTAATAAGAGTTTTCAGACACCATCTTACTGAGACACTCCCATAGATTTCCAGGGTATCAGAGTAATAAACCAAATTTATTCAACTATAAGTGTGTTCCTAGTGGTCTTTGGCTGGAGGATCAAAACACATGACAGATAAGACTAATAGGATCCTCAACCCCAAAAAGTAGAAAACCATCACTGAATGTGTCCTAGGAAACAAAATTTTCCTGGATACCATGAACCTTGCTACTTTCTTTTCATAATAATAATAGTAGATGTTCTCCCACTTTACAGAACAGTGAACACAAAAGACTTCAAATTCTCCTTTTTTCCCTTTTCTATAGAATATTCCTCCATCTGGTATTCCTGATCCCCACAGATGTATGCAGCAATACATCTGGTAACATAAATACTGCCTTCCCTGAGCATTTGCTTTACTTAATAGTAGAAATAGTACTTAACAGTGAACATCTCTTAAGGACATATGTGGCAGGCATTATATTAAGCAGCCATTTAACCCTCACAACAGCCATCCTATGAAATAGGTACTAGCATTTTCATAACATCTATTATTAAAAAAATGGGAGAAACAGGATTCAAATCTAGGTTCATGAGACTCAAAGTGTGGGCTTTTAACCATTAGTGTATCCTAATTTAAAACATTTTAATTGAAACATTTTAACGTTAAAACTTTGAAAGGCCAGAGTTTCAAATTCCTCCTTTCCAATACAATATACAATTTTCTATGCTCCTGAACTTTATTATCAGCCTCAAACCCCACTAGCTGATGACTTTAGGGGTAAGCAAATTGTAAGCTTTTTGGACCACACTTTCATATTGCCAGTAACTTTCCTTTGCTGACAACTTCAGGAAAACAATTTGTTGAGTTTATCAGACATCAGTAGCTTTGTTTCTTAAAGCAGATGTGATATATCTGCTCCACAACACTAATAATTAACACTGCTCGGAAATCAAGCCATAAAAGGTTTGTTTAAGTTAACTACAAAGGGGATGAGGTTGGCAGGGCGTGTTACCTTTTGGTCTGTGGTTACCAAATTCACCAGGAGCAGGGACTTTAACAGGGGTTGCTGAACTTTGAATGGTCAGCACACTGGGAGTGGCAGTAGTGGAATTGGCCTTTGGTCTTTGTCTTGGTGCAATTGAGGTTTCTGTTGGTCCAATGGTATCTGTTATTCTACGAGAAAAAAAAAAACACATTTCATTTCAAATACTGGGATTACTTCTAAATTACTGGTTTTATAAAGCATCTATTTCAACAGACGCCTATTTATTATTATTAATGACCACGTTAGCCCTCTTGGCTTCTTCCTAAGTCTCCTTTTCAAACATTAAATGTTTAATGAAGATAGGAAAGTAAATAAAAATAAACCTAACCACTTTTCTCAAGCCGGTATGCTATCATTCACAGTCAGCCACTGAGGCCGGAAGGAAAAGAGTAGAGGATTGCTCTTAAGGAGATAAAATAAAGGAAACAAACAGAAGCCTTCTCGATAAGGTTTTGGGCAAAATCGAGAGCCAGCTTTCTAAACTAGTCAGAGAAATAAAAACAAGAAGCAACAATAACCATCTCCCTTAGCTTAGACTCTCAGCCTAAGAAAGAAAAGATCACACCCTAGGGTGCATAACATGCAAGAAGCCAAAACTATTAAAAGATGGAGCTACCAACTCACATTCAACTTCCTGGATCTTTAGCTTTGCTTTACTTAAAACAGTGAATGGAAATTATATAAAACTTTTCCCACTAGGTCTTAGTGTAGGCCACAGATGGGAGTGGTCAAGTGTAAACATAGTTTTAAAAGCAAGAGACACTACATATAATTTGAGAAGATACAGATATTTTCTTTTCTCTTTCAAAAAAAAAAGCCAGGAAAAAATCTTACACTTACATGTTTATGAACCCTGCTTTCTATAAATTCTAAATACTCAAATACTTTAATAGGGTCTATGTTCACTATTCAAAAGGAATGCAATGCAGTCTCTTTACTAAGTTTCCTTAGCACATTTTCAAATGATCTGACACTTAACATTTTTGCATACACATGCTTTATCAAGCACACATCTGCTGCATTTAGAGAAAGTCCTGTCCATTGTTAACAGCACAGATCTACAGTTCTTGCCTATATCTGCAGACACCACAAGAGGGAGCCCTGTCAACACCTATCTTTCTAAGAAAGACAGGAAGCGAAATTGAATGGAAAGATTTTGGAAAATCAGAAATACATTGTGTGTGTACTGTTTTCTAAAAATAAAAACATTTATGTTTTATATGGGATGGAGATGGTACAAGTCATATGAAAACTGAACTAAAAGGCAATAAAAGATCATGTATACATATAACCAATTACCTCTAATTTAACCTAATCAAGTATTTATTGAGTTCAAATTATGGATGTGGCACTAAAACCAATGCTGTATCCTCCAAGCTCAAGTAAACTGTGGAAAGTATTACACACAATATTTCTATTTGTCCATCCATTCTTTATTAAGTGGGAAGTATAGGCCAGACCTTACCAGGCCTCGTCCCTGTTCTAAATCACTCTGTAGAGGAGTCACAACACACACGAGCGCAGCAAACCTCTAGAAAGCATACTGAAGTTCTGCAGACTTTGTTTAGTCTACTGTTTCCTGATTTATTTTACTAATGTACCAATATCTATTATGCAATTATTACTGATATCCAGCAAATACAGCGAAGTATCCATCCTTCAAAGAATTTACAGTCTACCTACGAAGATATGGCAGATGCTTATGAAAATATAAAAAAACATAAAACAGTAAAAATAATCAACACCAAGCCAGCACTGGCAATTGTTTCATGGAGGAGTAATTCTACCTTTAACCTAACTCAGCTGGGAAGGCTCAGGTGAGAACTGAAGATGAAAGATGAATGTGATTCCATCAGACAGTAAAAGGAACTAAGCAGTCTGTGTGAAGAAGTGGGAAGAAAATGCCTGGACAGATTAGGCAAAGTGAAGATACAAACTTAACTAAAATGAAAGACCGAGTAACAGTAGAGCCACGCAGCCTCATCTGTACTATTACAGCAGACACAGAGCTGTTTTCCCTTCTTCCTTTCTCTTCTTTCTCCCTCACTATCACCTGAACAATCTTCCTAAACTACAAACTCTCTCTTAAAATTCTTCAGCGTTTCCTTCTGCCAGGACAGTGATTCTCAACCCTCCCATCTTTAAGATATAAGTCACATAAGTTTCGTGTGTTTAACAGTCCCGAGAGCAGATGTAAATCTGGGGAAGGAGGTAGGGAGCTTTTAAGAAGTAAAGCAAAAGTGCCACAGATTGAAGGGTAGGGCAGGCAGATAATACTCATAAAAGCTTTAAAACATGTAAATAATGATACTAGCTACTTAGAGATGTCTCCATTTCCCCTCTGGAAATATGCCTTATACATGAAAAAAAAAGATTAACAACTTTTTAACATTTAAAAATTTTCCAAGTACTTTACTGATACTATCAATAAAAACTAAATTTATATTATTGATCAATAAGCACCAACAAACCCTATTGTTAATACACATAATGTATAGATTTAACATACTATGACTAGCACTGTGAATTTTAGTTAACTATTTCATTATTTCATCTGCTTATAATTATATGGCTAAAACTTGTGTCAGGGTGAAATGAGATTCAAAGCATCATCCTTATTCAGTCGACTCATGCTTTTTAAAAATCTATGCCTATTTTCTTAAAGATTTAATCATTGACACAATAATTATTTGAAAACACAAGTAACAATAAAATGCTGCTGCCAAGTCCTATGATTGCACGGCTGTGCCAACAGATAAGACAGACTGTCAGTCACCCTGGAATTCCTGCAAGTCAGACGTAACTTTACTCCTTCGACTTTTACTCAAACGAATATTTTAAATTCAAGTGAAGAAAGATAATATTTCTTAGAGCAACACCATATTTTTTTTAAAACTAAGTCATTCCCAAGTGATATTTCAACAATTTGCAAATAATAGAATATTTGTAACACATCTTACAACCAAGTCCCAAACAGCAGAAGTGACTACAAGGTGAAAATTCACTGGCCTAACGGCCAAAATCCAAATTTCTCAGCATGCCATATAAACCAAGTTGCCCTGACTGGCATTCTGTTCAAGTCATTTCCCACCACTCCCGTAGAATGTCCCCTCACCACACTCAGCCTTGCAGGTTCCCAAAGGCTGTTCTTGCTTGAAATGCCTGCCTGCTGCAGGCTCACTCCCCCTTGTTCCAAGTGACTTGACTGCTCCTCCTTCAAGGAGGAGCTCAGCAACCCCTGCCCTCAGGGAGGGGATTCTTCCCAAGCACCTGCTTCCTCTACCCCCAGTCCTTCCCCTCCTCCACTCTGAGTGGTCTGACACCTATGAAGCTGTAATTGTTCACTGGTCTACCTTCATTAAAACGTGAACTCCCTGAAAATAAACTCTGCTGCTTCTTTGCGTTCTCAGTATTTACATCTTGCATATAACTAATGTATGACAAATATATTTTATGTATTTTATATCAAATAAAATACTCCACATAAGTAAAATATAATACAAAAGAACTGTGACCAAGAAATCTCCGCAAACGTAATAGTACACCTGTCTGATTATCTACAACATAGCCTTTAGTTTATTAACTTTCAGACTCTTTTAAAAAAAATAGTCATTAATTCAATCATTTGTCAGATTTAGGACTTAACCTGTGTAATTTGTATCAAATACTAATGTAGTAAATAATAAAAATTATTTAAAATATTATAATCTCTTTATCAGTCTTAAAAGTATTACCAGTACACCATTCATACAAATTATACAAAGATATTTTTTTCTTTCCATAAGTTAAAAAAGTCATACTGGCTATCAAGCAAAACATAAAATTTCATAAATTAGTTGCCATGTGATGAAATAAAGACAACCCCCCCAAGTAAAATGACCCAATGTAACATCACCAGTTACACAATCACTTTGTGACTGCTGAGACAGTGATGTCAAACCCTGTTATCTAATACAAAAAAAAAAAGCTTATTTTGAACTTGCTGTCTAAGCTCCATACCACATGCAATAAGGAACACAACACTTTTCGTGGGTGAAGATCATATTTAATCAATGACACTTGCTAGGATTAAAAATGAGAACTGCCCTTTTTTAAAAAATGCCTTTTCAAATTTCAGCATAGCTTTGCCTACCTGGCTTTTATTTGGCTTTTCCTAGAAGCTGCTTCACTAGCCGTCATCGGTTCAGGAAGAGTTGAAGGAATAGAAGAATTCTTGGAAGAAAAAATAAACATTTTCATTTTAGTTTTCATTTCAATCACAGAAAGCTTTATTTAAACACTACAGATATATTCTTAAACTTTAAAAGTCCTGACTGTGAAATACTATTTCTTTTACCTCAGACCTATAAATTGTTCACATTTATTTGCCAGATCTAATCTGCAAATGTCACTGCATATTACACAAATGTCACTTTCACATTTGTGTTCCACAGAAACCCTTGGGAAATAAACAGAACCTTATCATTATACCCACTTTACAAATGGGTGAACCCTGGGTATAAAGGATTATATTATACTTGTAAATCAATGACTATTCCACACTTTAGAAAAAGAAGCGAAGACCAAGCACCTGAGTAAGGAGCTGTTTTACACAATGCAGGTGATTTTCACGACCCTGCTTGTCAAGTCTAGAAACAAGAGCAGAGGCTTCACTCATCTGTTTACACTCTATACATTTGGCTTACAATAAGTACTCACTAAACATTTGCTGAGTGAAAAGCTAAAAATCCAGGCAAATGTCAAATAAAGCTACTTCATTACTAGAATGTTAGTAATGACTTCCAGATTTAACTAAGAATGCATTACACTGACATAGTAAGAACTTCAAAAAACAAAAAGGTACCAACTTCCCTCTTTTTTCTTAGTGGGGTAGATTACGTTGAACACAAAGGAAACTCTTAAGAATAAGTCAGGCCAGAATGATCTTCACAAAGTTGAGAATGGCTTAAAATCAGTGACTTTTCCAGACTGTTATTAAAATTAGCAGAGACTTGCCATATACTGTTAATCCAACATAGTCAAGTACAGTGTGCAGACACTGGATACAATTCAAAGCCTTTGAATGGGTTTAGTGATTACCAACTCATTATCTTCCCTGGACTAGACACCAGATTTTATATTCATTATTTCTAATCCTCATAATTACTATCCCTGTTTTACAGAAAAAGAAACAGACAATAAGTAACTTCCCAAAATATATAAAATCAGTCACTGATGAAGACAGAATTGAACCTGGTTCTCTCCATTTACAATGCCTATGCTCTTTGAGCCAAGGTAGCCATACTTTCTCAGTTTGCAAAGTGCTTAGTAGTTCAGTAATTTTTCATGACACCCCTGGCCCTACCTTCCCCCAAATCTGAAAGTCCTGTTTTTTTAGTAGTTAGACCCAGCAAATGTATAATAGTAGTTTGTGCTATGTTAGACAAATGTTGCAGTGTTTCTCTCAAAGAAGCAAAATATCCTGCAGTACCCCCTTATCCACTGTAGCTCCCCAGAGCATCACAGGGCACAGTTTGGCAACTGTGACTTTGTATCAAAAATACTAATCACAAACATACTATTAGACCACCTGTCATGAAACAAGCAACAAGTGTGTATATATACACACACACACACATATTCACAAATGATAAAAATAAGACTATAACTTCATATCCTACTTGAAAAACTACTTACATTTATGTTGGAGACAGGACAATCCTTTTTGGCAAATTTAAATGCAAAATAGGACACTTGAAATATATCAGGCCTACGCTCTGGATCTGGTTCAAGCATGAACCCTGCAAAAATAAATTAAAATGTTAAGAAGTTTCATTGAACACAGAAGCAATTAGGGGCACATTAAAAGGGTAAAATATACACATATATACTTTTTTCCATTCCAAGATCAGTGATGATTCCAGCAAACTTTGTTAACATTTATACAAAATATAAAAATTATTATCTTATATACCAACTTTAAAGAGACAAATCAGTCCTAGAAGAGTTCTGCATTAGAAATATAAATGATAAATATGAATATTCTTCTGAGATATGACACACAAAAAAAGTGAGTTTAGTAAATACTGTGTAATTATTCAAGAAAGTTCTAAAGCCACAGTAGGGGTCCTTATTTTCACTATTACCTAAAATACTAGTACTTAAGTGCTCCTGAATTATTAAGGAAAGACTAAATTGCATGCATTATAATCTATTTAGCAAAATAGGACAAGACTGGCACTATAACCATCCTAAAACATGCTTCCTTCCCACAGTGATGCTAGCAATACTCATCGCAGTTCCGTACTTCGACATGCTATCTGCAGCACGTTCAGAAGCACAAGCATAGTTTTATGGTTCTATTACAAACAGATTTCAGATCAACCTTATTGCTTGAGAGGCCTGACCTTTTTTCTAACCAAAATGACCACTACCATTTGTCTATTTCTTGGATAGCTTGTTAATTTACAATTTTACAAGAAGGTTGACATTTATACTCCATCTAGAACTGAAAAATCCATATTTTGTTAAGATATTCTCCATGATCTAATTCTGCTTCACTGATTAACTCTAAGTTCTTATCATATTCAAATAATTTTAAACCTATTTGCAATGTAAAATTTACAGTATGAATCAGATAATATTCTGAAATTTCCTAATAAAATTATGTACAGAGATATCAAGGTATATAAACAGCTAAATTAAAATTATAAACCAAAATGAATTAAATCTGCCTTTCAAACTCAAGTAATATTTGAACAAACACTGTGTAATACATCTCCAACAGCACGATAAATTAATTTGGTTAAGAACATGGTTGTTTGGCAAGTGACACTAAACACAAACTTAAAAATTTACTTTGGAGATTCTGAACTCAGTTTTATTACGTTCTGCATGTCACTTGATTTTATATATTTTAAAAAGTTAACATATATCACTCATAAAATTGACTTATTATTTTATCACCACTGTTAGATGGAAATAACTCAAAACACTGAATTCTAATGTTTATTGGTTTATATTCAACCTCACTCCAGAAAAGATTTGAGAAATTTACAAGATTTGTTTTATCCTCCAGAATCGTATTTTATCTTTTTTTTAAATTTTATTTTATTTTATAATTTTGGAGGGGGAGGGTTTACCTATTTATTTATTTTTAGAGGAGATACTGGGGATTGAACCCAGGACCTTGTGTACACTAAGTATGCGCTCTACCACTTGAGCTATATCCTCCCCCCGTATTTTATCTTGATACCAACAAATATTCAATGTGTTAAAAGGAACAACAGTACATGATACAGGCATAAATTTAAACAGGCTTTTAACAACAAACACTTATTCATTTAATTTTAAAAAATCAAACAAATCACAAAAAACTTTATCAAAGTCACAAACTTAAAATTCTACTTTTCTAACAATTAAGTTTATTTGGTCTTTAAAATCTAATTTCACTAGTAGCTAATTATAAATATGTATTCCTCCACAGGACTTAAAGTGACATGCAAAACTATAAGATTTTTTAAATATGTGAGAAAATTAAGACCAATGAAAAATAGTGGCTAAGGAAAAATAAAACAAAACAAAAACCTGGGTAACGATGTCAGTAAAGAAATCGCGTATGTTTGGTCTTAAAAACGCACGCCAAAAATCGAGCACTCTGCTTTCTCGCCGTCAACACAAGTAGGGTGACATGATCCATTACATTAATCACAGTGTCCTTAACACAAAGACAAACCAGGTGCTAAGAAAAAGCACTATTCCTGATGCTGAAAGCAGAGTCCATTCTTCTTTGCATCTTTCTAAAGATGGCTCACTCTGAGTGAAAAATATCCTTAAGGAATCACATTTAGTAATATAGGGTCGGGTCTTACACACTCCTTCCGTGTGGACCAGTGACATACCACCTACATGCAGCTCAGTAGAAGAAATTCTACAGGAGCAGAGAATACTGCAGGACGAAGATCCACTTCTCTGGCCTGGCTTAATCTAGGAAAAGCTTTTGAAGTGTCTAGACAGGAAGAGAATGATCCTTCAGGTAATGCTATACTTTTTTCCTTTTGTAGTAGATGAGAAGCATTGAAGGGAAATGAAAAATTTGAGATTTTATGTTCTCTGATCGACATCTGTAGAGGTAATTCTCTCTCTCAAGTTAAGAATAGCACAACATCCCCTAATGATTAAGTAACCAGGCTGTGGGTAGAATTGATATCATCTTGTAAGGAAACAAAAAGACTTCTAACTACCCTGGCGTGTGTTTCCACGTGGGAGACATTTTCCGGGGGCAGTTTAGTTTGTCTGACTGTACTGACCCCATTTATGTGGCATAAAATCTGCCTAAAAGGTCATGACTAGCATTTATTTTAATAAAGTAGAACAGAAAATATTACAGTGCATTATACCGTAAGTATAAGCAAAGTTTCAAGACATTTGTTTCACATGTGTGTGCGTGTATGTACCAGGTCATCACTAAAATGTATTTTTTATTATGGATCACAGTCAAGTAGTTTTAAAAACCACTGTGCTAGCGATCTCTATTACTATAGTGCATTCCTCTCCAAGGAAGGACAGTGATTTGTCTAATTTAGACTAGAAAAAAATAAGCACCCACAGGTGTCCATCTCTGCTGCTTTCTTTCAGAACAGTTTATTCTCAGGACATGTATGTTCTCTACAGAACCACGTTTTGAAAGTGGCCCACTTCTGTGGAAGAAGTCTAGGCTTTCCGGCATTGTCTATGACTGGATGTGAGTATATCTGGGAGTTGAATATACATTAACAGGCCCATTTGGCTTCAGATCCAAATTCTGTTCTGCAATCTGCTTTATCAGTACTTATAAAATATTTTACATTTAATATTATCAGCCACTTAAAAGGAAAAAGGAAACAACTCAATGAGACATCATTAAAGCACTTAATAATGTAATTTCCCAAACTCTCCAAAAGAATGCATTGCAAAATGTACTCCTAGATTACTGAATGATGTAACCTGAAGTGTAACGGTATCAGTTCCAACCCAGCTAAACACTGAAGCATATCCTCCAATAATGACAACTTCAGTTTTTAAGGAGGTGACCCAAAGCCATTTTCTCTCACAATAATTAAACATTAAGTTCAGTGTTTAATTAACTCCTACTTCATGACAATAAAACAGCATCACCTACAAAAATATACTCTTAAGTGGAAGAATTAAGGAATATGTGAGTCTAATTCATCCAAAAGTGAATCAAGTGATTTAAGTTTTAAAAAAGGCAGAGAAGCTAGAATACACCCTTGTTTTCTCAACTTAAAAGGATCACGTGAATCATCAAGACCATTCCCACTGACCTTGATTCTACTACAAATATAAAACCGACTTTTAAGAAGTTGGCCACATAGAAACAAAAAGGTGTTTCTCTGCTCCTCCCAACTGTGTGACTCTTTCTATTGACACAAACGCACTAATACAACCTGAAAACACAAAACAGCCTCAGCATTGACGGTTGTATATGATTAAACCACCACAGTATTTCCAACTGATTAAAACCCACTTGCATCCAAGGCAGCTGAACTAATTACGCTTATTCTGGTTTTGCGACATCCATGCACATTCCAGCACAAAGAGCAGCTAAGGCGCAGCTCAGCAGGGGCCACGTTAAACATGGCTTCATCAAGGACTCACACCAAAAATTAAGTGAAGTAGTTCCCATCCAAGTTACATAAAAGGATGGACCCATGCCTGAGCCTAAGTAAAAGTTAAACCAGCACCTCTAATCTAACAGTTCAACAAAATTATTAGGAAAATACTTTGGACAGAAGTCTCAAAACAATGTTCCTGCTTAAAAACTGTTAAAATTTTTTCCTTCCACAAAGACATCTTTTGTCTCCCACAGACTTCCAGTTACCACAATTATAGTAATTTGCCTGAAAAGAGAAATACTCACTCTAATTTTGTAACCATAAATACTTCGAGCATTAACGTGTTATTTTTGTCTGTGGACCTATGAAGAGTATTACAGAAAACTTGTATGTTAGGCATATGTATTCTATAGACCTCATTCCATAGACTACTGAAGTCAAATCAAATTCAACAGCTAATAATAAACACGTTCAATCATAACTAAAAGACTAAGTGGCACTATTAATATGACAGGATAGTCTATCTGGGATAGTTCTGGTAGCTGTTCCTAGAAGTTATTGATCACAGCCCTCTCTCTACACCTCCCCAAGTGGTAACCCCAAGAGCCAAGGACTGAAAACCTCCAGGGAAACCCTATCTTAAACTCTGATTTCTTTTCAAAACTACATTAAAATGTCCGAGATTTAAAAATACATATATATAGGATATAGTGGATGAGGGCGTAAATGAAACAAGATGGACCATGAGCTGATAATAACTGAAGCTGGGCAGCAGGTACATGATAATCCACTGCACTGTTCTGCTTATATTTCTAAATATTTTTTAACTTCCATAATAAATTTTAAGTGAATACAAACAAGCAAACAAGTTCCTGGTTTCCCAAAGAAAACAGGTATTGAAGTAAATTTATTTACTATCATAAAGACAAGAAAAACAAGTATTGGTAGGATGCGGAAAAAAGGGAATCCATGTGCACTACTGGTGGGAATGAAAATTGGTGCAGCCACTATGGAAAACATATAACCCATCAAGTCTACTTCTGAGTATGTATCTGAAGGAAATAAAAGCACAAACTCAGAAAGATATCTATACCCTCATGTTCACTGAAGCATTATTTATAGTAGCCAAGACATGGAAGCAACCTAAGTGTCCATCAATGGATGAATGGATAAATAAAATGTGAAAAATACATACACACACAGTGACAGACAGACAGACAGACACACACACACACAAACACACTGGAATATTATTCGGCCATTAAAAGAGAAGGAAATCTTCCTATTTTTACACCATGAATGAACATGAGGACAGTATACTAAGTGAAATAAGTCAGGCAGAGAAGGACAAATACCAACTGATCTACTTAAAAAAAACAAAACATACAGATACAGAGAACAGACTGGTGGTTGTGAGAGGTAGGAGGTGGTGGATGGGCAAAACAGGTGTAGGTGCTCGAAAGGTAACAAACTTCCAGTTATAAAATAAATAAGTCCTGGGGATGTTATGTACAGCATGATGACTACAGCTAATCACACTCTATTGTATATTGTATATTTCAAAGTTGCTAAGACAGTAGATCTTAAAGAGTTCTCATCACAAGGGAAAACAATGTGTAACTATGTGAGGTGACAGATGTTTACTAGACCTACTGTGGTGATTATTTCACAATATTACATCAAATCATTTCACTGCACACCTGAAACTATGTAATGTTATACGTCAATTATATTTCAATTAAATACGTAAATATTTAAACCTAATAGAAGAGCTGCTAAGAGCTAGGACACAGAACCATAAAGCAACAGTAAGTCAGCAGCCCCAAAGCAAAAAGACAAAACAAAACAAAGTCTTCTCCGTTGTTCAGTATGAATCACTATTTAGAGGTGAGAAAAATAATCTTAGTAGTTACATTTAACAGTATGTTCTGGAATATATGATAACTTCTGGCAAATCTTTGATATCCACCATTAACCTGCAAACCCAAGTTTGGCTTCAAGGTATCCAAAGAAATCTCTGCAGGGAAAGTACATCCTAATGAGTATCTGACAGTAGATGCCCTGACCTTCACCCAGAAAATGAGAAATCAGGCTAGCTCAGGAAGAAGAAGAAAGACATCAGTAGTGGTGGTAGTTACTGCAGAAGTAATGATGGCAGCATTAAAGGCCGTCTCTCACCGAGTACTTAGACACCCTAAGAAGCTTTTTTCATAATTCATTTTATTTTCACAATAACCCTAAGAGGGACGTAATTTTAATATGCTCATTTTAGAAATAAAACTGAAGTAAATGGAGCTGCCCAACATTCTGTACCAACTAAGGGACTAGGGAGATGCAAGTCCAGGCCCTTTGGCAACAGAGGCCTGATTCTTAATCTCCACAATATACTTCCTTAACCACCATGACAGAAGCTAAAAGCAAGGTGAAGCAGCCAGCCTTCTGTTCACTCATCGTAACTCTTCGGTATTCCTGTTAGTTATGCTTCTCATTCTCCTCTGAACGTTCTCCAGTTCAACTCTTAGGCCCATAAACGTAAAGTGCTTCTCTCCTCACTGTCCACCACCATCCACCTCCATTACTTACTTGTTTATTGAAAAAGTTAACAGAAGCTAATAAGAAAAATTCTAAATAATTGCTACTTTTAAGAAGAAAAAGTCTGCAGAAAATTAATAAACTGAGCATTATGGACAGTAGGTAATAATACCCTTGACCAAACTGGTGATAATCAAACCTGCATTCAAATACTTATATAACCACAAACCATGTAGTTTAACAAAGGTTAAGCAAAGCTATTTCATTCTCCAAAATCCTGAGTCACATAAAATAGATGCAAGCAGCATTAGTAAAACTATTAAGACTAAAAAGATATGTCTTTTTAATGCTTTATCTCATATATAAATGTGGGAGCAACTACATTGCATGAATAGATAATTGTCAATAAAAAGTTTCCCTTTCAAAAACTATGCACACAGGTATGCAATCTCTGGTTTTCTGAAGGTAGGATTTATTTGAAAGCAATGTAAATCACCAATTACTTTATTACAAAAGTGGATACAGAAAATACAGAAACCTAAATAAAATGGTGGGAAACAGGCAAGCTCACATGTGAAAAATGCAAAGAATAAAACTGCAAAGAATCTAAATGTTTCCTAAAAAATATTATATTACAGATAAGTATGTTCTGGTTTTCAAAAATCTCTATATTGTTAAGTTTTTACTACTCAAGATAATACCTAAAAAGTAAAATCCACAAAGGCCCTATGACAGGAGATAAAATACCAACATTTACTTGAAGGCTTTTATTTTATTCAACCTTGTTTTTCCATTTCTGCTTAGTTCTCAGAGATAAGTTCAAAGACATTAACACACGGTTGAATTTATACTAACATTGATAAAAACTAAAATCTGTACATTTATCAACAAGTAAAGCAAGCATGCGATGCCCAGTAAAGCATCAGTGAACTAGAGCCCAGTTAGATCCTGAAGTTATCAGCAGTTGTTTACCTTTCCCACCTTCCCGTTATATACAAACACATACCCACACACACACATAACAGAGAAGGGGGAAAGAAAAACCTAACACAAGAACAAAAGATCTTATTACTATAAGCAAATTAAATCACGAGTCAGGGTATATATACTGCCCAGTCTCTCATACAATACTGTCCAATGAGAATACTAAGTTTCTAAGACACTGCAAGATCCTCAATAAAAATCATCAGCCTAACTGTGATTAAAATATTATACTTAACAGCATAATAGTGTCACAGTTACAATGATTTACAACAAAGGGCTTCAATAAATATCCACACGGATAACCTTCTAAACTTCAATGAGCCAGAACACTCAACAGCCAAAGTAAATCCCTCAATCCACTTTTTGAGCATTCCCCTTGATCAGAGTTCTTTCATGCTTTTGATGTCCTAGATTTTGGACAATGAAGGAAGAAAGCAGCTGGATAAGAGCAGCTTATGGGTCTGATGTTTATGCAAATATACTCTAAAGGTAGGTTTGCTCTTTAAAAAAAATTCACATTCTGCAAAATGGCAGGCTAAAAGTAACAGGGCTCATGGGGAAAAGAGAGTTGGGACAAACCAATGAAAAACCATACAGCTCTGTCACTAGCGCACTGACAAGAACAGTCATTGGCACCTGGGAAGGTAACTTGGGCTCCCCGGGCAGGTAGCTTAATTTGGCTGAAAGCTGCCACAAGGGCATAAAAACACATCAAAACAAGGTTAGGAGGCTCTCAATCAATAAAGATAAAGGTGCAACTCTGAGACAATGGAGATGACATTCAGGGGGCCATCCACTAGTAGAGAGCCACACAAATACTGACAGGTAGCACTCTCTGGGAAGAAAATCCCCAGGTACAAGCACCATATTCAATGTCCTCCAATTAGAGCTGAACATCTTCGTGCTGGTAGTGCAGCAGCCAACCTCAGGGCTATTTCCTTTCCCTGCAAGTTATACGACCATCTTCCCCACTCCATTACTCTGCTTCCCCTTGCCTAGGAAAAACATTTCACATGAGGCATGTGATTTTTGTGTTCAACTGACATAACTCTCTAATTTCCAACAGAATGAGCAAATCCACATTACAGATGTAAAAAGACTGTGCTTTAAGTAAATTTGCAAATTGAGGCTAGATATCCTTTTATGCTCCATCTTCTTTTGACTATTTTTCTTTTGGAGTGTTTGCCCTTTTCCTTTTGAGCTTCATAAACTACAAAAGATAGCCATTTGTCAAGTGTGTAACGAATTTTTTTTCCCATTTATCATTTGACTCTATGCTAGGGTTCATGGTTTGAAGGGACTTTCAATGGTTTAAAGTTATATATTAATGGATTCATCTTTTTTTTTTCTAGCTCCTGAGATTAAAAGCCTAGTTTATAGATTACCTATTCCAGTGTTATAAGTGAATTTATACCTATTTTCTTCAAGTATATTTATGTTTTATTTTTCACATTTAAGTCTCTGATTTATCTGAAATCTTAGTATAATGTTCAAGTTAGAGATTCGGCCTGATTTTTTTATCTACACATAGATAATAAACTTTTGCATTTCCATCTGTTTTCCTCACTACATTGAATTGTCATCTTTATCATACAAAACCTCAAATATATTTCGACTGATCTTCTTTTCTATTGCATTGATCTCTGTGGCTGGAGGCTATGACAGAGGATGTTTAAAATGGAGAAAACATAGCAATGCTAGAGACACTTTAATTAAAACAGTACTGAGCTGTGCTATTTAAATACTGCAGCTTGCTAACATAGTTTAACATCTAATGGTCCTCCCCCTCCCCCAAATCATCTTTTTCAGAAATTTTACCATGTGCACATATAAAAAATTAAATTATAATATCTATCAAAAGGAAAGGAAAAACTCTCAAAGGAGTTTGGAAGGAATACTGAAGTATTCTTTTGGAATCAAAGGCCACAGGACTTTTCTTTCTGATACTACACTTAGGGGGCTTTCCAATTTTATAATCAATACAGAATAAATATTGAAAAGGGTGGCAATATAAACTTCAATCTAAGATTGTCAACACTTTGATCTGAAGAAGCAATAGATCTGGATATTTAAACTTCAAAAGTACAAAGACTGAATAATTAAATGTTATGGTGTAAGTTTTTCCAGAAATTCCAGTTTCACTAATTATATAATCTCTATGTTCTATAAAAGCTTATCTAGAGTTGAAAAATGCCCATGTACTAATCAGTAATTAGGCAGCTTTCATTTCTATAAAAGCCTTATAAATATCTTTTTAAATGTATTTCTTCACTATAGTTTCACAAAATTATAACATAAAATTAAAAGACTAGGTTTAATATGTGTGTATATTGTATGTATATGTGTAACTGAATCACTTGGCTGTACACCTGAAACATTGTAAATCAACTACACTTCAATAAAAAATTAAATCTTTTAAAAAAGAAAAGGAATGGAAACAGCAAGCCGTTAAGTACAGTATCTCACAATTTTTTCATAAATTTTCCAAGTACTTACTTATTAAGCAATGTATGTTATGGGAGTAACGAGAATTGTCTGGGATGGTGAAGCTGCCATCACAGATGGCAACCTGACTCTCACCAAAAGGAAGAGTGAAGAAACAAAGTTTATACAGTAAACATCCTAGTGCCTGTAAAACAAAGAAGCATGAATATCATCAGAGCTCAAGTATCAACTTAACCACAAGACCCAAAAATAAGCCACAATCAAAAACTTAATATATTATTTAAAAAAACCAAAAGCCTTATGTTTCTTTTCAATCCTTTCAACTTAAGTTGAAACAAATTAATGTGCTTAATTTTTTAAAAGACATTTAACTGTATCATTCCCATATTTTTCTATCACATCTGTAGCTAGTTGGCTGAATTAAGGCTATCATCGAACTCTAGATCATGAATGGTATAATTAAAACTAAAAGTGGCTGGTTCCTTCTGGGGAAAAAATTACACTTTCATTTCTTCCACAAGGAAAATCTATATTTAGTACATAACTAGCTTATAATAACCAATAAAGTAAGCACAAGGTTCCTCCTAGAAGCATCTTTTTAAAACTTCACTATAAAGCATGTCTTAAATTCCTGAAATTCCAAATGAGTTAGCCAGCACAGTTAAATTTATCAGACAACCGTCAATACATTTTCACTGATCATTCGTAAGTACATGTCATTATTTCACAGTATAAAAATAGTTTTATATTTCTGTGTATATTCCTATAATTTTTATTCTACATTGTACTAATCATATTTGTACCTGGGTAATCTATACAAAATTCAAAAGGGGAGGGCTCTGTCTGCTTCACTTGCATGGATTCATACACATCACAGCACCAGCAAATCTAATTGCTGACAATGAAGACAAAACACCCTAAAACACAACTTGCATCTGGAAAAGTAGCATAGGAAATATTTAGCTAAGCTGCTAATAGCTCAAACCTGAGAAGCAGTAATAAAAAGTGGTTTTTGCTCAAGAAATCATATTGTCACAAGAAGTCACCTACAAGCCTTAAGAGTATAAAGAGCATTTCTAATTCTAAACAGATTGTATAAAATTATCCAATAGTTACTACACAATTACATCAGCAATACTGAAATTTGGGCAATCTAAAATTTAGAAAATCAGCATTCTTCTGTTGGATTTTCTCCACACATCAACTTAGCAAACCTAATTAACAAATACACTAGCTTTATAACTACTATGAAGATTACAATAGGCAGAAACACCTTTGTGAGTTTAACAATATTAATTTATAAAACATTATCTTCAATATTATAACAGACTTCCAATGAAAAAAGTTAAAGACTCTAGAAATTTCAATGTATTAGTTCAAAATCATTACTTAGTTATTTACTATATAACTAACAAAACTGTAAAGATTCTGAATAGAAATAACCAATTCAATGTGGCTTAAAAATTTTTGATGCTTTTTTATATAAGAAAGATATTTTCAGCATTTGTGCAGCAAATTGAGCATAAGGCTTCCTTAACAGCACTAAAAACTGTATTATTAGTGGTGTAATATCTGCATTAAATTACACCTTTCTTCTGCACACATGACAGTTAGGAAAAAGAGGTCTGCATTTTAGCCAGTTTTATCTTGTCAATCAAACCTTCAGTAATGTGTCTTTTGTTAGAGTAAATGTTGTGGGAGTTCCCAGACAACAATGTCAGTATACTTAAAAAACAAATCTAAAATACTCTGCTTCACATAATGTGAACACAATGAGGTGTCCTAATTTTTTCACACCAAAGGCATTTCCCTCTTTATCCATTTGATACAATGAGAACCGTTCAAGAAACAGGAGGGAGCAAATGACCTCATTTTGAAGGCTGAGTATCGCTATCTTCAATTTTCCTCATTGAAAGGTAACATGAAGCATCTCTCACTGAATTTCCTAATGCTCAATAAAATCAGCATGCTATTTCTCAGGATAAAAATAACCTACAATGGAAACTTCAAAGCAAAAAAAAATTTTTTTCCCAAAATATATATGCTAAATGAACACTTTAACCTCAATATTATAACTCTCTGAATCAGCATAACTTGAAATAAGATCAGAAATATAATACTTAACCAATATGAATTGAATTTTTTTCTGGATATTCTTGAAGTCACACCTAAAATGTTGCAGCATTTCACCTGAGCTAAGACAAGCATGAAAATGGCATCATGGAAATTAAAATTCTATCTCTGGTAACAATATAAACATAGATTCTGTTTTCTGATTATTTTTCTGGCTTTTTTATCTTTGAGTATCTGTCATCCCACAGCTATACGCAGTAACCCATTATAGAAATACTGCCCCATACACTAATCTGTGAACGATACAAATTTTAAACTTAATGCTGACAATTTAGTATGCTGTCTGGCATGCATTCTAAGCCTTGTGAAAAATGAACAACAACAAGAGATTCCCTCCTTTCTGTTAAGATATTGGATAACAACAATCAATCATGTGCTTAGAGACCAAGGTTTTGTTTTTTTTTTTTAAATCAACTCTTGATTTCAAAACAGCAGTCAAGCTATGATGTCTGCCGCTTCCTCTGCTGTTGAAATACTTTTAGGTAATATGGATTTCAACATTAGTCACAAAATTAGGCCAGAAAAGACTTCCACAATCACCTTTTCTAATACCTTTATTTTATAAATTAAGATCCAATTGAATTTGTTTTCTACATTATACTGTAAGCCACTTGCTGTAAGCTATTTAATGAGTCAAATGTTAGTGCTAAGGAGAGCAAAGTGAATTTGAGTCATACCAGCTGGTGATCTATAAGCAGTATCAAATTAACTAAATCAAACTTATTCATGGTTTGATTCAATTACGTACACTAACACAAGATTTAAGAGTCACTGGTGAAAAAGAGTATATTATATAAACAGATGAAAAGATATTATAAATACTTTTTTTTTTAATTATCTTGCAAGAATCTCTGGTATCCCAACCTCCATAATAGAAGGCCAGGTGAGGAGCACCGAGGAGATACTCATTTGGTTTCACATATTATGCTCGAATACTTTCTAAACAGTATGCTTAAAAAACAAAATAAACATGACTGTTCTTGTAAACTCCAAAACTATTTCCAAAGGAATATTTTTCCTCTATACCTCATATGGTCACTAGTAGTAGATATGGTTGACTACTTGTTGAATTTAAATGAATTCACACTTTAAACAGTTTCCTGCTAGTTTATTAAACATAGCCAAAACATATTTTACTCATAAAGTAACTTTTAAAAAGGTATTAACACTCTAACATAAAGTTCAACTATATGAAGACATTATCTACCTCAATAGTCCAACCCAGATTTATATACTAAATGATAAAGAACCTCAATATATAGAGGTTAGTCAATGGTATGTTTATAAGTTTGAAAAAGTTTTACTCATGTTAGTTTCCATTAAAAAGATCCTAAAAACTCCAGAAAATTATCAGCATTATTACTTAAGAGTTGTGTCCAGCTTTTCCATACTATGATCAACCAAAACTGCAGTCCAATCAAAAAAAAAGTTAACCATCATATATAATCTAAATTCTAAAAAAAAAAAGCTGTTAAAAAAGTTAGATTATCTGGAAATCCCTTATTTGCTTTTTTTTTATACCTAAGCCTTCCATCTCAGGATTAAGAAGATAAAATGTGCTATTATTTTTCTTCTATCCACCACTGTCTTCTACTCAATAGGAAATACTTTGTGGGGGCAAGGGGAAAATAATCAACTGAACTCAGTTTCTTTTTTTAATTTGGTTAGTGAAAATGTCAGCCTTTCTTGGCCTTACCCAGATATCAGCCTTGGTGGTGATAGGTTTCCCTCCATAAAGGTTGATCATTTCGGGGGCTCTGTATGACAGAGTTGTATACCTGGCAGTAAATAAGTAAAATGGAGTGGAGATATAAAAAAAAAAAAAAAAAAAAAGACAGATACTACATTGTTTCTACATAAAGTACGATAAAAAACCTTTAGGTTCAATAACATTATAAAGAAATAATACTATTTTAAAAGCTCATTAAAAGTCCATCAAGGATTAAACAATACAAAGCATCTATACACATTTTTATTCAACAAGTACAACAGCATCTCTAATAATATAAAAAATGAATTTTTAATAGAAAAATTTTCAATAAAGACAACATATTGGAAACATAGTTTTCCTTGAATTTCTTATATGAAAGATACAATTTGACTATAAAAATATCCTTATCAAAATATTTTGGTCTATTAATTTAAAAGTAAAGCTTCTACCCTCTCAAAAAATTAGTTTATATATGTTTACTAAGCAGTTTGTTTTTATAGACTCTAGCATAATTCCTTACACATGGTAGTAGATCTCCTTCAGGTTTGTTTTTGTAATTGTTGTTTTACAAGTAACCTAGTTGCCGTAATTATAACTATACTAATTAAGTACACTTCTGAAACTGATGGCACAAGCAATTTGGAATTAGAAGATACTATGGATAAATATTTACCAGTATAAAAACTTCAAATCCAATATGAACAAAATATCTGAATTAAGTTGTGCTCAATTTCCTGGCAGAAATTATTAGATATCAAAGGAGCTCCCATATTATGGCATAATTTAAGATTCATTTTGAGTGTTGATACGTTTTATTTTACATGAAGCATCTTGAAGTTCAACATTCTACCATCTTACTTTATCCAAATTACCCTGATTGGTGAGACATTCTGAATGATACTACAGTAGAAGAGTGATCTAAGACACCAGTATATAAACTGCATGAGAGCAGGACTTTTTTCTGTTCACTGCTATATACTGCAGTGCCAACAACAGTGCCCACTACATTGCAGGCCCTGAATAAACACCTGTTAGCTGAATAAATGGTTAGACCATTTCCTCCTCAATTGAGCCACAAAGCACAGGAACACATGAGCTTGCATTCATCGCTACTGTAAAATTCTGCTGAACCTTACTTAACTGTACTTCAGATCTTAACAGCAAGAAATGAAGCTTCCAACAAGTCAGAGATGCTTGAGCAGAATCCTATAGCAGCCATTATATACCATAATCCAATAACTTTTAAGATTATATGTACCTACATATATTCACAAAAAGCCAATTTAATAATTCATTGTTCTGGTTTTCTTCAGGACATTTGTATGTTTACTAAGGAGTTTGTTTTTATGGAATCTAACATAATCATCATATCCTGAGTGGAAACACGTAAGTCTAGAAAACCACAGTTTGGTACGGGTGGGCCAGAGTAAGATCAGTTCTGTCGAGCTACTTCAAAACACACGTTGCAGTTCAAATGAAAGCTCCTAGACAGTGTTAAACAACTGTGAATTTGTGAGGAAATGAAGAAAAAGAACTTTAAAAAGGCAACTGTTTAGAAATTCCTATTCTGACAGATCTTTCTACATTCTGCATCATTTTATTAAGTAATCAAAGAATTACAAATAGTACTATTTTCTAAAACTAGAAAACAGAAAAGTCAGGGATGGTCCCTGGAGCACTCTAGCAACCATGGAAAGTACAAGATTAAGAAAACAGAAGGCACACATGAGTTCTATTTCTACTGAAGAGTCTTCTAATACATTATTATAAAGTAACAAGTTTTCCACATAGTTTTCAATGCATTAATTAATAGGTTAATCTTCTTAATATTAAATATGAAGTAAAAGCCTACATGTTTTTAAATACTTTAATTTTTTTCCTAACATGCACAAATCCTCAGTATCAATAAAACAAAGATGTTTAACTGAACTCAACAATAACCTAAAACTCCCTTTAATGAGTCCACTAATTACTATAGTTTATATAACAAACTTCTTGATAAACTTGTTTACCATGTAGATGAAAATTTTGTTTCCATGGTAAAATGCATTTCCTATTGAACTCAATGAGACATAAGCTAATCAGTGTCTATGGCACAGAAATATCTTAAAGAGATCTATAAATGGAATACCTAAAGTTATATTAGCTGGGCTGGTCACAGACTCAAGTTAACTAAAATTCCCACGAGATGAAGTGCAATAAAGACAGACACTTACTTTTTAATTTCTTCTTCTACTGTATTAACTCCATCTTTTTGAGGATTAAGAAATTTATTTGTGGCACTGCCAAAGTCACAAAGTACATAGTTTCCATCATCGTTCAACAAAATATTTTCTACCTTCAGAAAAGAAAAGCAGTAATTAGTAGTATTCTCAAGGTGAAAATTACCTTTTTACAACAGTGTTTTTACTCAATAAACACTAAAGAGCTTGTGCCATGTGGAGAGAGAGAGAGAGAAGAGAGAGAAAGACAGAAGATACCTCAAATTGTAAGAAAGGAGAAATAATTCAAACCAAAAATATACCTTACTATATCTACTATTTCTCTTACTAAGCCCAAAGAAGTGCTTCTCCCATCCCAGGACGATTTTTGCAAGGGCCAAGAAACCCTAAGTCCTCTCTGAAACCGTTTCTATGAAAGAGAAGAACTAACAGCAGTCAGAGTCTACACTATACCTTTATTCTTCTCCTAACACTTCAGCTTATCTGTAGAAAAGTAACAAAAATCATTACAATTCTACTTCTGATTGACTCCTAATTCCACTTTTATCTAATATACTACACTGAAAAACACGGATTGACTTTATGCCTTAACTTAGAGATCAGAATTGTAGAAACTTAAATAAAATTATGTGCACAGTTTCTAGAACAGGAGAGTCTGGGTTCACAGCCCAACTCTGCCACTTACTAGCATATGTACCCTTGGACAATTTGCTTAACCACTTTTGTGCTTTAGTTTCCTTACCTATAAAATGGGGGAAATAATATCTATTACATGGAATGGTTGTAAAAACTGAATGAACTAAAACATGTAAAGAGCTTAGAACAGTAACCAAAATAAGGTAAGTGCAGGATAAAAGATAGTATTATTATTAACTTTTTTCACAATAGTTTTTCCTGAATGAGTAATTCTCTACACTACCAAAATACTCATATCATAGTTTCTTTATCATTTTTCTTCTTTACTGCATTTTAGTCTACTTTTAAAAGATTTACATAAAATGCTTATATAAGAAATCTACTTAAAATAAACATACGTTTGCATAAATTTACACATGTAAAAAGAACTAAGTATTTGAAGTATGGGTCTATACAAAATTATGCAGTTCAATGTCTTTTTTGTTTTAAAATCAAGAAGATTCAGTTGAAGACATCAACTTTACATTAAAAAAGTTAATGAGCTACAACAGTACAAAAAAATCAGACCAAATTATTAGGGAGAATGTGGAAGTTACATATTCAAAAGAACTGAAATGAACTATATTGGTTATCCAAATTAAGGGACAGAGGTCTGCAGTCATGCATTTTAAGCTCGCCTTGACTTGTATCCTTTTATCTTAGGTTTCCCTAGATAATGCTTTCATTGTTAACAACTTACATTCTTTTTTAAGATTTTTTAAAAATTTCTACTGAAGTATAGTTGATTTATAATGTAGTGTTAGTTTCTGGTGTACAGCATAGTGATTCAGTTATACATACATACATTCTTTTCCATATTCTTTTCCCTTATGGTTTTATTATAGGATATTGATTAGAATTCCCTATGTCATTCAGTAATAGGAACTTGTTGTTTATTTATTTTATATATAGTAGTTTGTATCTGCTAATCCTAAACTCCTAATTTATCTTTCCCCCACCCCCTTTCCCTTTTGTTTCCTATCTCTGTGAGTCTGTTTCTGTTTTGTAAATAAGTTCATTTGTATCATACTTTAGATTCCACATAAGTAATATGGTATTTATCTCTTTCTGACTTGCTTCTCTTAGTATAATAATCTCTAAGTCCATCCATGTTGCTGAAAATGGTATTATTTCATTTTTTATGGCTGAGTAGTATTCCTGTGTGTGTCTGTGTCTGTGTGTGTGTATGTCTTTATTTAAACATCTGTCGATGGACATTTAGAACAACCTATATTCTAAGTGACATACTCTATTCTCTTGTATCTTAAGAACATTTTATTAGCTCTTTTCATAAATTTTGTATAATTAGTCAGAATTGGGAGTCATTCATTCATTAAATGTTTACTGAGACCCTGCTACGTGCCAGGCACTGTTCCAAATGCTTGGATGCCTCACTACAAAAGAGCAAAGTCCCTGCCCACATGGAGCTTACATTATAGTGGGAGAGGACAGAAAATAAACAATAGGCATAATACATAAGCAAATTATATAGCATCTGAGAAAGCAACAAGTGATAATAAAAAGGCAGAGCAAGCAGAGAATAAAAAGGTTAGGTTGTAAGTATACATAAGGTGGTGCAAGGATGGGATTCACTAAGAAAGTGAATCTGAGCACACCTAAAGTTGGGGAAAGACTGGCCACAGCATTTCTGGGCATAAAGCATTTCAGGAGGAGGAATTTTTGTAATCTCAGTGTGCACAGGTATCAAAGAAGACATCTATGGTTCTAAATAATATGTGTAATTATAGCTCAAGCAATATGATACTAGGAATATTCGGTCCCCTTTGGGGACTTTTTCCAATGTAACAAGTGGGTACCACATAAAAGAGGTCAGATTCCACAAAAACGTAAGATAAAGTAGCCTTAAAGTGACAATCACCACCGAGTTAAGGTAAATGATGTAAAACTATAGAAAATTATAAATACCCAAGTAAAGAGACCCATTTATAGTCCTTCCAGTATCTTTGGAAAACACCCTGATGATTCATATAAATTACAGGAAGTAGGAAGAGTGCTGAACTGGGAAGAACAACGTAGAGGGACATCTGACCTGTGTCACTGATGTTCCTATTTTTGTCCATATGAAACCTTAAAGAAGCCTACTCTGTAAACAGAAGCAGAGTAGGGAGCATAAAATCTACCTCTACGGTCATGCTAGAAACCCTCAGGGTCATGGAAAGCACAATTTCAATTCTACTGTCAGTCTGTACATGGCCTCAGGAAATGCAGCACGGGACAGAAAGACCAATCTCAGTGCTGGTAATAAAAACTGGTTTAGATGAAGACAGTCCAAGAACATTTTAACTCCAAAGTTTAAAATGTATTAAACCGTAAGAAATCTAAAATTCGTACCTTCAGATCCCGGTGAATTATTGGAGTCTTACACTGATGCAACCTTGCGACAGCTTCACAGGTATCACAGAATATCTGTAGCACTTCTGGTTCCGTAAAACCTGTCTGCAGCTTCTTATTCATCTGATTCACAACCTGTCCAGCTAACCAAAAAAGTAATTTTGAGAAGACATATTTTTAATAAATGAAGACTACTGCAAACAAAGAAATTAAGAAATGTCTTTACAGTCTCAGGTAATGGGAAACTGCTTTTTCATAATATTCATGTAAGGATGCTTATTATACCATATTGTGCTGATTCAACAACATACATTTTTTTCACATTTTTACATCTCTGAAATGAGAACATCTTAAAATAGACAATGTTCTGCTAATGCTATTGGCTATATTTTTAAACATTTTAACATCTGCAAAATCAGGTATACCTTGTCACTAATGGCATCACAGATCTGAAGAAATAGTTATTCTACACTGTGCTAACTTTTGGGTAAACAGTGGTAAAGAAAAAGAGTCTCTACTATCATGGAATTTATGGTCTAAAAGGCACAGATGAACATTAAACAATCACACAAACGAATACTCGTCACAATCATGTAACAACAAGGATGATATGAGAGAACCCTAAGTTTAAATTGGTGGAGGAGGACGGCAAGCAGAGAATGCCAGAGCAGTCCTGTCTAAGGAAGTGATTATTTACGTTGCGACTGAAGGTTAACTAGGGAGTTAACCCAGCAGAGATTTGGGAGAAGAATGCGCTGGTGATAGCAAGTGGCACATATCAAGGCCTCTGGTTTGCAAGAGCTTAATGATTATGAATAACTTTTAAAGAGAACCTCTACAGATATGGTCTAGAAAGCAGAGAAAAGAGTAAAGTATATTTTAGATTTTATCTTGAAAACCAAGGAAACTTCCTGATCTGACTTTTTTAAAGGTCCCCTTGATTAGGGGATGGAGGAATCGCAAGAGCGGAAATAGAGAGCTGGGTTAAGGGACTAACGCCCTAAACTGGGAAAAGATAATGGGTAGATAACTTACTAAAATCAAATAGCCACACCAATGAGCCCTGAGAGGATTATATAAAACTATAGTAAATTTTAAATAAATGAGTAAAGAGCTCTATTTAGTCACTTCTAGTATCTCTGGATAACACCCAGATGCTTAACATGAATTATAGGAAACAGGAGGTGTGCTGAATTAGGAAGAACAGTGTGGAGGGACACTGTCATATATACATTATACAATATATTAAATATTACAATATACTACAGTAATTGATCATCCAAAAATGATAATTCTTAATTATTAAGAAAAAGTTTTCTATCATTATACTTTAAGAATACAAATAAGTACATGATTCATTCAGAAAGCATTCTAACAGAAATCAGGTTTGGAAATTGAAGAAGGCAATGTTATGTTAACTTGAAACTTTTCTTTAACAAGTTCAAATAAGTGACTGTCTGTTATTTTGTAATCTGTAAGAAGATTTATACACATCTGCTCCTTCCATCATTACTGTCTAAAAGCATTCTTATATATCTTCTGAAATAGCTGCTTTTTTCTTAGAAACTTAAAGTAGAAAAAAACATTAAATTTGCCTATCAATCCCCAACTTTCAGAAAACTCAGGTCTACTTGGTATTATTTGCCAGAGTGTCATATAAGACTGAGGCAGCAGTTTCCTCCATTTTCTTGTTTGTCAGATGTCCTGACTTGTTTTATCTAAAAATTAAACAGTTTTAAAAAAGTATTTTATTGGTGTTCATTCACAGTCTTTAAATACCATTTCACAGCTAAAGAAATCATAACTTTGAACTCATTCTACTCCTTCCAAATTTTCAATGTTGTAATGAGTAGAATAAATTTTAAACAAAAGTCAACCCTCTTTCTTCCTCTCAGAGATCTTTGGACTAGAAACCTTGAATCACAAAATCCAAGTCCTCAGAAAAAGCTAAAACCCGTATTTGAGCTGCATTTCAAATGTAGAAACAAATAAAATTTCATTATTCAAAATCATGTTCTGAAAATTAAAAGTATTCTAATGAAAAATTTAAAAATCAGATTCAGAAAGCAAACAATATATACTGAAGGTCTTTTAAAACAAGAAGCACATAATTCCCAAATCATTCCCTATTTTTCAAACAGGTATCATCTCCTAAAGAAAAATTTTCATACTCTGTCTAATTTCATCATTAAAATTTAAAAAGTCAACATTTTTCTAACCTCTTAAAGTAATCATCCAACAATCTTCATAACTCTGAGATTACACTTATTACCATTTAATTTAAAAAGCCATACAGTCCAACCTATCACTCCATGTAAATTTTAATACTTGGTTTTTGTTAACAAGAAAATTAAATTTTATCTGCAATAGATTGCACCATTGGTCCCAAATACTCACTCCCCTAAAAAGTGAAGCTCATTTAGTTCCCTTTTAAAATGTCTTCTGGATGGCAATTAATTAAACTCATCCACGGTTACGATTATTCTTGATTAAATTATTTTCAAAAAGTTACAAGGAGCCAAGGACTATTAGTCAACCCTAACCCACTTAAGAATTAGTGTGTTAAATGCTAGAATTCAAGAAAGTAGAATAAAGAAAATCAGCTTTTTTTTCCTTAAAGAGATCACAATGCTTTACAGTAGAGAAGAGATATGAATAAAGAAAAACCATCTAGAAAACATCTAATTTTTATATTATATATGGAAATAAATTACTAACAGATCACAATAGATAGTATAATATTGATTCAGTTCATTTTCCTCTTACAAGACTGGAGGAAATAAGACCACATTTCCTCCATTACCATCACCATCATCCTTCTCCTTCAACATTCAGGAAGGGACAACAGTTCCTGGTATCATAATTAACAGTCATAACTGTCTTAAAAGAATCTAAAAATAAACCAGGGTTCCCTATAGCCCAAACTGCCAGATATAATCTAATGGGAAAAGAAAAGGGCAAGTTTGCAGGAAATACTGTTGCTTGCCCCCTTCACACACATTTAAGTAAAAACAATTTTTCAGAGATTTTAATAATTATTATTGTAATTCTTAAGGCATACTGAACAAGTAAATATTTCTTTGAAACTAACACATTAGATTCAAATAAAATGTGATTTTTACCTTCTAATGTTTATAAATGACTACATAATTTTATACAAATTATAGATAAAAATGTATCCTTTAAACTTATTACATGTAATACATTCAAAGATAACATAAGACAGTGCTTGAAAAAAATATTATAATACTAATATGGACACAGTATGCTCTTCTTGGTTGGATTATAAAAGAAATGCACAGGAAACATGAAAGGTAACTGCTCTTTACCTGCTTAATTTCCTGTTTTAAACTCAAGAGCATTTTTCTAATTGTCTGTTTACATGCTCATATCATCACTGCAACAGCTATGACTAGATTTTAAATCTTTTCTAACAGCATTCCTTAATTAGACAAATAATTAAAACTTAGATTGCATTATGTGTCCAGAATTAGGTGACAGCTGCCCAGGGAGAAATGAAGAAACCCAGTAACCCATTTTATGGGCGAGCTTTTTTAGCATAAAACAATTGCAGAAAATACTTACCTCGACAATATTCCATTAAGATAAGCACTTCCCATACATTATCACTAATTGAATTAACAGCACAGTCCAAGTAACCCACGATATTTTTGTGACCAGACAGCTCTTTCTGCAAAAAAGAAGCAAAATTTTAAAAATTGGAAAACACACAATCTAAAGCTCTATTGTTAGCGATGATGTGAAGTCTAAATTAATATATTTAAAGAATTTCACAAAGTAAGATTTAAAAGTATGGAATCCGACATCTCAAAAGGTCCCAGTTTCAATGGAAAATTTACTTACATGTCACTGTCATCTTCTAACAGGCAAATATTCAATGAATACTTACTTTTTAATTAAATGAAGAAGAAGATGGTTCATTCAAAAGTAACTGTCTCCAAAAGTGAGAGTATGAAAGTCTTTTGGGACTAAAAATAAAGTATCAGAACTTTTACTTATATTTCTATCTCTAAAAAATAAATATATTAAGCTCTAATATTTATGAACCAAAAATTATACTCTCATTTGTTTGTTTTGTCTGCACCATATTGCAATTTATGAGTATGTAGTTAAGTGAATTTATGAATGTATGTACTTTTAACTAAAGACCCTAAAAAATGAACAAATAGCTAAAAAAGTTTTCTGTAAAGAAACCATAGATTAAAGATAATACTAATAGTACAAGTACAAGGAAATAAGAAGAAAATAGCAATTCTGACATTTCTGCTCTTAGTACAAGACAATCATCAACACATAATAAAGTTAAAAATAATAATGAATTAAGTTAGGCCTGTCTATGAATTAAAAAACAATGATCAAGAATACTACTTAAAATAATATTTTTTAAAAATAATAATTTACATCCATTATCATTAAAATAAACCTAGTTTTAACCGTGCAATGTAATTTTAGATATTGGCTAATGGCAGCTAACATGGGAATAATTTATAAACATAAACAATGGAGGATGTGTCATCAAAAAAAAGCCGGAAGACCACTGCTCTAAACAGCTCATCTCCCCTAAAATACCTTGTTTAAAAGCATAGGATTCGAACGTTGCTATTGTTGATGATTACTATATGTTTATGTATCTCAAAATTACACAAATCCTATTGAAAGGAAGAATTATGGTACAATAGTACCATATTTGAGCTCAAGTTAGTTAGAAAACTTAGTCTAAGATGCCCTCTTACCTTGGGGTAAACCTTTTTATCCTTTTGACTAATAGCCGTTCTTTAAAAAAAGCAAGTCTCAAAGCCTTATCAACTCTAGTGTAGCTAAGGGACAGGGATAATAGCAGAATTCAGATTAAGTTAGATTGTATAAACGTCTATCTTCAAAGAAGAGAGATCAAAATATATGTGTTGACAAGGATGTTGACTAAAAATAAGAAAATCTCCTTCTTAGCAGTTGGGTAGGAGTGTCAATAACAAGTGTTTACAAGGAAGTAGAAAAACTAGAACCCTCATATACTGCTAGTTTGGCTGCTACGGAAAACAGTTTAATGGTTCCTAAAAAAGTCAGATATGGAATTGACCCAGCAATTCAACTCTTAGATACATACCCAAAAGAAGTGAAAAGTACTCAAATAAATAAATATATACACATAATTGTAGCAGCACTATTCACAATAGTCAAAAGGTAGAAACAGCCCAAATATCCATCCACGGTTTGAAAAAATATTCCATCAACAGATGAACAGATAAACAAACTGTGATATATATGGTATACATAATGGAATGTTATTCGGCCATGAAAAGGAATAAAGTGTCAACAAGTGCTACAATGTGGATGAACCTCAAAAACATGCTAAGTGAAAGAAGTCAGACACAAAAGGTCACATATTGCATGATTCCATTTCTATGAAAGATCCAGAATAGGTCAATCCATAGAGACAACACAGATGGGTGGTTGCCAGGGGCTGGAACAAGAGTAGAATGGGGCGCAACTGCTGAATGGGCAGAGGGGTTCCTTTAGGAGCAATGAAAAGGTTTTAGAACCAGACAGAGGTAGTTGTTGCACAACATTGTCAATGTACTAAATATGGCTGAAATGTTCACATCGAAATGTGAATTATAAAATGTGTAACATGAATTTAACCTCAATAAAACAAAAAGTTAAATATACATATTAGCACTTAATAAACACTGGATGAGGAGGAGGAAGAGGAAGACGGGGGAACAAGAATAAGAAGCCATTCAGAACACTGACAATAAGCAACCCTAGAAAAAAGGAAATTTTTATTTTGTAACTTTTTTTTAAACTGTTTAGTTAAGTGCAGTTTTCTTTAATGGCCTATTAAAATATTTTTCACTTTTCCTGAATTTAAAAAGAATTTTTTTCCTCGTTGAAGCATACTTTACCATATACTACAGAGTACATACACACACACACACAAAGGGTCCACTTTACAGCATGATTTTAAAAATGAAAAAATGAAAAGCAAAACTGTTGTTTGTGAGTACAAACACATACAGTGAATGTATTAAATACCCATGGAATAGGTAAGCACCAAATTCAGGACAGGGGTTTCTTTCTGGGTGAGGATAACAGCATAAGGATAACAGAATACACAGAAGACTTCAAATTATCTGTAAGATTTTAACTCTTTGCTGAGTAGTGGGTAAACTGCTGTTCACTAATTCTCTAAATTTTTCTATTCCCCAAATATTCCGTAATTAAATTATTTTTAAAAGGAAAAAAGAAAGCAGAGTAGCTTGCCTGTTGAACTACAACAGGGAAAGGAGGAGAGGAAGGAGTTGGCTGCATTCAGCCGTAAGTATGGCTGTAAGGAACATCCTTCAAAGGTTTTCTAGATATACATAGGCCAATAAGCAGCTTACCTAAAAGCTGGTTAATATTATGGTGCAAAACTGAAAGAAAATACACCAAATTTTAAAAATGGAATTACTCTTTTACTTACCATAATTGTAATTTCCCTTTTACAAATGTTGAGGTCTGTCACGTTATTGACATACATTCGCTTCAACGCATGGCGGAGTCCACCATGAGTCCGCACTAGGAAAACTGTGGAGAACCCACCTAGAAGAACAAATACCAATTAAATAAAAAGAATCTGAAACTACTGCTGAAATCATGTAACATCTTAGAGAAGCTTAATCTCAGAGGGAAATAAACTGTACACAAGACAAAAATTGGAACAGTAAGCAACTAATATACTAAGTTAACAGCTGAAACATGGGCTTCCTGTGACAATCATGAAGCAGCACATACCGGATAACATGCTTCTCAGGTGAACATGATTCTCTAATTTTAAAGTTTACAATAGTAGTATCATTTGGATGGGAATAGTTCTTATGTAGAATGTGGAAAATGCAACGACATAACTATATTACTATAGTTTAGCAGTATTCTAGTGACTGCCTACCCATCTGACTCCCCTTCTCTGCTACTTAACATGAGACATCAAGGGATCAGATGTGTAAGGCCCTCCCTCCTCCCTCCTCCAGGTCCAGGGGATGAACTAACATTGTTCTACGGTAATAATGGGAATCCCATTTCCTCTTGTCAGCAACTGATTTAGGACTGGACATGTAACCAGTTTTGGCTAATGGGACAGAAGGGAAGATCTGCTAAGGGCTGCAGGGAAAGATTTTCCTCTCAGGAAAAAAAAAGAGAGAGAGAGAGAGAGAGGGCTATGAAGAAGGGCTTGCTCTTTTTCCAGCTTTTGGATTTTCCTATATAAGTATATAATGCTTAGGCCTATGGAAGCCATCTGTGGCCACGATGGAAAAAAGAATCAGAAAGAAAAGGACCCAGAACACTGACACAGTTAGGCTACTGAATTAGACAACTGTAGATCCGCCGCCTTCCAGAACTCTCATGTAAGATGATAAATGACCTCACTATTTATGTCATAGTTACTTGGACAGTCTGTTAAACAGACCCGAGAGAGCATCGTATCTGAAACGCATAGCCAGGTATTCTAAAGAACAAATGTTTTTGTCACATTTAAAACGAAGTTTTCCACCTTCAGTTTTTAAAACTCATTTTGACATAGAATATTTTGTAGCTTAATTATAATATTAAAACAAAAAAATGGTATGTCACTTTTATCAATTTGCTAGTCCTTCTAAAGCAGCAAATTCAGCAACGATAAGACACTAGCACTCCAGTTCAGTACAAAGCACTCAAAGGAAAAGTAAACCACTGGAGATAAACAACAGGGGAAAAGAGCTCCTAGGACATGCCAGAATCAGCACAGATTCATTCCAGAGTCTAACTGCAGGTATAAGAAACTGTACGACTCCCATCTTATGGATATGGATTTCCGTGTATACAGTTTTGGGGAAATTAAATCAACTACCTCACAAGGCAGTTACCAGGAGAGAAAAAGATGATGTTTGGGAAAGGTACTTAAGTAAAAGTTCTAACAATGCAGGGCATTTCTTTAAAAGATGTTCACTTAGCATTAATTTTATGTGCAAGAATTAACAAATTAGTAGCATTAATAAAGTTCTACTTAAACTAGTCAAATTTTATTAAAAATTAGGGAAAATGCTAAAATTTAGACTATTCTAGATATGAAGGTAGTATGGGTACAGGTGAAGATAAATCATTTATATAGAATTTATTTTGAGACATTCTAGAGATTCCCCTAGAGCAATGCTTCTCCAACATAACTGCATTAGAATTGCCTGGTGAGCTGGTGGTATGTGTGTATGTGGCGGGGGGGGAGGGGCAGGGGGGTTAATATTGAATAGTTTCTAGGTCCTGACCTCAAGTCTGATTCAGAAGGTCTCAGGCCAAATATATGTATTTTGCTGAAAATTCCCCTACTCATTTTTCTTGTTTTGTATATGTTAAGAATATATAATGGATATAAACTGGTTATTAACTGGGGCAGGGCAGGTGGAGTCCCCCAGGTGATTCTGAAGTACAACCTAGTTAAGTACACAACGAACCAGGGCAAAAATTCCTGAAGGAACCATGGATCCTATATATCCATTCTCAACCACCCACATAACAAAGTAATTTTAACCCTATGAATTAGGAAAATTAGGGGGAAATATTAAGTTTTATTCATAAAACTCCTGTTCCTAAAAGTTAAAGTTCGACAACTGCACCAATCCTAAATCAGAGAAAGATCCACCAAAATGTTAAATTTTCTACGTGTTCATCAACTATGATCTGTACCTAAACATGGTAAATAATGGTCAACAGTACCTGCTCTCGAATGAAATGGGATTCTTTATATTTCTCCAAATACTATATTTTCCAAAATTATCTGATGAAGTTTTTAAAGTTAGCTAATAATATTTCTGTTTGAAGAAGGCACTCAATGGGAGGTAACTAGTTAAGACATTATAGTAATCCAAGAGAGGACTATCACCTGCTTGCCACCAATTCCTCAACACATCTTCTTCACAGAAGTCTTTCATGACCAACCCAATCCATGCTCATCACTCCCTCTGGCACCTCCATCTAGAGTTTTGACTATATTTTTACCTATTTCAATTTTGAACTCATGTCATACATAAATCAGAAGATCACTGGCAGTATCCACAAATTCCACTTATTATGTATTTCTATGTCCAATTCAATATATTGTTCAAGTCCAGTTCAAGACACAGTTGTTAAATTAATGCTAAATTTACAATTCCAAATATGGGATTATGAAGAATACTATAAACTTTCCAAATGTTCTCAAAATCCTACAAAAATAAAAGAACCAGTGACAGATACTGGTCTTTGTTATGTTCAAGAGGTGATTACTGCTGGGGCCCCCAGACAGCTTCAGGTTGGACACTGGTCCCAGAAAAACCAACTACTTCCAGTGAGCCTGAATCTAGGGGCTGAGATCCTGCCCTTTGGGACCTTGACAGGTCTTGGCACATAAACAAACCTGGGAGCAATAAAAATGTAATAGGCTATTTGGACAAGCACTGAGTTTGAGAGACAACCACAGGCTGAGGCAGGGTTGAACAACAAGGTCATGTCATCTCCTACATAAGGCCACTCCTTCAAAACTGAGAGAAGCAGTCATTTCATCTATGTGTAGAAACCAACCCAGAGAGTTAAGCAAAACAAAGAAACAGAGGACTATGTTCCAAATGAAAGGATAAGATAAAACCTCAGAAAAACCACCTTACTGAAAGAGAGAGAAGTAATTTACCTGATAAAAGAATTCAAAGTAATGATCATAAAGATGCTCAGCAAACTGAGGATTAGAACAGATGAACAGTGAGAATTTCAACAAAGAAAGGGAAAAACATAAGAAAATACCAAATAGACATCACAGAGCTGAAGAATAAAATAACTTAACTGAAAAATACACTGGAGGGACTAAACAGCAAACTAGATGAAGCAGAAAAAAGAATCAGTGAACTCAAAGACAAGCCAGTGGAACTCAACCAATCAGAGCAGCAAAAAGTAAAAAGAATGAAGAAGAGCGAAGATAGTTTAAGGGGCTTATCTAACAATATTGAACAGACAAGTATTAACAATGCAGGGCTCCCAGAAGGAGAAGAGAGAAAAGGAAATAAATCTTATGTGAAGAAATTACAGCTGAAAATTTCCTTAACCTGAGTAATTAAACAGACCTTGAGATCCAGGAAGCCCAAAAAGCTCTAATTAAGAGGAATCTAAAGAGACCCACATCAAGACATTATATTTTTGACATTATAGTTAAAATGTCAAAAGTTAAAGACAAGCAGAAAACATTAAAGCATCAAGAGAAAAACAACCTGTTACATACAAGAGAATCCCGTACGACTATAAGCAGATGTTTTTAGGAAAGACTTTGCAGGCCAGAAGGGAGTGTCATGATACATTCAAAGTGCTGAAAGGAAAAAACTTTCAACCAAGAATACTGCACCAGGCAAAGTTTTCACTCAGAAGTGAAAGAGAGATAAAGAGACAAGCAAAAGCTAAAGATGTCCATTACCACTAAACAGGTCTTAGGAGAAATTTGTTAAGGGGACTTCCTTAAGCAGTAAAAAGAAAAGGTAGTAATTAGCAGCAAGAACACAGATGAATGAACGAATCTCACTGGAAAGATAAATATACAGCAAAGGTAGGGATTAATCATTTATAAACTATTGTGAAGGTTAAAAGCAAAAGTAGTAAAAAGAACTATGATTATCACAGTTAAGGGATAACAAGATTAAAAGATGTAAAATGTGACATTAAAAATATAAAATGTGAAGGAGAGAGAGTAATAGTGTTGATCTTTACAACAGTATCAAACCTAAGTTGCTATCAACTTAAAATAGACTGTTACAGATACACTTTTATGTGTAAGGCTCATGGTATCCATAAAGCAAAAACCTCTATGGGCAAACTCAGAGATATCATAGGTTCAGTTCCCAACCACTATAATAAATAAATATAATAAGGCATATTTCAATAAAGCAAACCAGGGATTTTCTGGTTTTCTACTATATATAAAAGTTACCTTTACACTAAACTAAAGTCTATTAATTGTGCAATAGTATTATGTCTTTAAAAAACACCAATGTGCATACCTTAATTTAAAAATACTTTATTACAAAAAAATGCTAGCCATCACTTAAGCTTTCAGTAAGTCTTAGTAATAACAGCAAAGATAATTGATTACAGATCACCATGAATATAATAATGATGAAAAAGTTTAAAATATTGCAAGAATTACCAAAATGTGACAAAGTGAGCAAACACTGTTGGAAAAATGGTGCTGACAGACTTACTCAAGGCAAAGTTGCCACAAACCTTTCATTTGTAAAAATTCAGTATTTGTAAAAATGCAATAAAGGGAAGCACAATAAAACAAAGTATGTCTATAGTAAGCATACAAAGATAAAGAGAAAAGAATACAAGCAAACATCAGAGAAAGCCATCAAACCACAAAAGAGAGCAAAAAAGAAACAAAGAACAAAAAATGCAGAAAGAAATTAGTAAAATGGAAATAAGCACATACCTATTTATAGTTACATTAAATGTAAATAGACTAAATTCTCCAATCAAAAGACAGAGTGGTTGAATAAGATTTTTTAAATACCAATCTATATACTGTCTACAAAAGACTTTTTATGTAAAGCACATA